TTTTATAAAAAAAAAACAAACAAAAACATTTTCTTTTATTCTTTGGTTTAAGTTTTTACTATGGGAAAAAGAAAAATAAAAAGTGAGAACAAAAATAATTTGATTTGGAATTAATTTTACACCATGATACACAATACACTTGATTTTGTGGGTGTTAATCTAGAATGAGTTTATTTGGTGGGCTGTAATATAATTTCAATTGCTAGTTTAGGATGCTTGTCGAGTATTTAATATAAGTCTCTTCATATACTACTTGCACTGCACACGCTATGATATTGACAGTGGGACTCTACTGTGTGTGTGAGATTTGGGATAGCAGTCACATATTATTAGGGTGACTTTGAACATGAATTGACCATTTTAATTAGACTTAAGCTCGATTTTATCCTTGAATGAATCAATTTATGCCTGAAAAATAATAATATCACGGGGTTCAATATCTTAATGCTACTTTTCGAAGTCTACTTGACTTGAGTTATTAAGCCCGTGGAGTTTCTCATAACCTGGTAACTATGGTCATCTGACTTGGGTGAATCGGCTTAAAGCTCGTTACAGGGGTCAGGTTAATCGCTAAGTGGAAAGAAATCTGCACTTAAGATGAAAAAAAAAATTATATGAGCATTCTTATTTCAAATGTGATGACAGAAAAATTCTTTATGCTATAAGTCAGGGGGATAAAATAATTGATTTGAAGTGAGCTTTCATATGTAGGTTCTAATGTTTTTTAAGGTTTGACTTTCATAAGTAGAAGAATATACTTATTAGCAGTGATATTTAGCATGTTCTTTCTCACAAAATTAAGGTATGGAGTCCTACTGTCGGAAGATTAATGACACTTAACACATATGAGTCACTTATATCATTTACTCCATGGGTACTTTAAGTTGGAGTTGTGGGATACTTTACTGTTCACTGCATATACTTGTGGCGGCTTATACTTGCATTGTTGAGTTGTGATGTGTTATTTCTTCGGAATTTGTAACAAAAAGGGGGAGAATATCATAGTAAGGGGGAGATATGTACACATTTTATGTCTTGAGCAGTTTTTCACATATTGATACCTATCATATGTCTTAGAGGGGTCGTTGGAGTGAGACATAGATACTGTATAGACATTTTATGCTTTACATTTGATTTGATATTTTGCATATGTCTTGAGGGGTCGTTGGGGAGAGATAAAGATACATGTTCTACTGCTTTAACACTTAAGAGTTCGTAGTAGTGTCATTACATTTGCTTTGCATATCATGCACTGAGGGAGATCAAGCGCATTTCAACTGTGTTGCATTTCATGCATAAATGTTTGAGTTTTTCTTGATGTT